GGCACCAATATTCCTTCCAATAGAAAAGGCTTTGTCCTTGTTGAGAGCAGAGGTGTTGTGCTCTCTGTCCTGTACTGAGGTGTGCCTCACCGAGATCTGGCATAGTTGCTTAGGATACCGGACACACTTGGGACCAACAAAGCCTCTGCAGTGTGACATATGCACCACACCTGCCCTGTGGTCTTTGCAGAGCACACAGTGGGCCCTCAGGTTCTATCACTGTCTATGCTCCCTTTCCTCCCATGTTAAAATCAAGTCAGTGTGAGCCATTCACACTGACAAAACATGTCTTATAGAGACTTTAAATTTAGATAATTTTAAGTGATAATTTTAAGCACTCGATATAGTTCTTTTGTCTGTGTTTTTTCTTTCAGAAAAATCTAAACAGTAGAAAGGTGGCTAGAATTGAGAGGGGTTATATTTTGTTGACCCCTGAAGCAGAGTACTTTTTCAGGTAGTTATTAGGGAGCCACACTCATTGTGAAAAAATTTTGTCCTTTTCCAAACTGGGTTCTTTCTCGTTCATTGAATTAGAACTTTGTACATATTATATCTAAAGTTATTTGAATAATATATTTCAAATTATTTCTCCTGATTGCTTGTTTGGCATTCTGTTTTCTCAAAGATCCCTATCCCTCTTCCCCCTCTCAATATTCAAAACAATGTTAACTAAAGTTAAACAAAGATAGGTAAATAGAAGTATAACTCACAATAATAAGTTAGAAGATTCAATAGCTTTAGTTTTCCCCAAGGCCTACTAAATTCAATGAAATATCAGTAGAATTCCCACATAATTTTTTTAATAAGAAAATTAACTAGAGACTTATGAATAAGAAGGTAGACTAGAGGATTTTTGTTTGTGTGAGCTAGTAAGATAAAGTCAGATTAAGAAAAATGTAGAATTAATCCCAAAGACCAAATCAGAAAAAGAGCTTCAAAAATCTACAAAACATTAAATAGAAATAGAATAGACAGTGGAAGAGGCAAAGGGGAAGGAACAAGACAGGAGCCTATCATAGCTGTCCTCCAGATGCACCAACCATCAGCAGATTGAAACAGGTGCTGAGACTCAGAGCCAAACCCTGGGCTTTGGGTGAACCATAGGCAGTCTTGTGGAAAATTGAGAGGAAGAGTGGAAGGATCTGGAGTGCCAGGATCTCCAGAAGAAGACCAACAGAGCCAACTAACCAGGGCCCAGAGGGTCTTGTGGAGACAGAAGCACCAACCAAGGAGCATGTGTAGACAGAACCTAGGACCCCTACACAGATGTAGCAGATGGGCAGCTCAGGCTTCATGTGGATTCCCTAGTAAGAGGATCAAGGGCTGTCTCTGACTAGGACTCTGTTGCCTGCTTTCTGATCACTCTTCCCTGGTGGGTGCTGCCTCACCAGGCCACAGAGGAAGAGGATAAACTCAATCCTGATACCACTGAATGAGCAGGAGTGAGGGAGGGAAGGAGGGAAGGACAGAAGGAGGGGGAGGGAGTGGAGAAGTCCCCTTACCCTGAGGAATAGGGGAGAGAGGTTGGGGGAAGAGGGAGAGAGAGTGAGACCAGAAGGAGAGGAAGGAAAGGGCTATGAGACTGGGATGTAAAGTGAATAAATAAATTAAAATATAAAATGGCTCCCTATAAAGGGAAAGGGGGACCTCAATGAAGTCACCTGAACAACCTTGTCCATGAAGTTCTCTGGTTGGAGTCAAGGGGCCCACAGCAACTGTTAATTTTACTTGAATATTTTTATTTCTCCATTCAGTAAATTCTGATCACGGTTTCCCCTCTCCCAATTCCTCCCAAATCCTCCCCAGAGCAACTTCTAGAAGGTAAACAGCTCTATCATCTTTGGAAGCCCACAGCAGCAGCAAGCCACAAGTACAGCTTGTGGATATCCATGAGACAGTGACTCATTCAGTGAACAGGTGGTGGAGAGAAATCCCATTTTGTTATAGCTTGGAGTAGAGGTCCAGTACTTCCTAAAAAGAGCCTATGATTCAATAGTGACCTACTTGGGATCACTACTGGCCAAGAAGCCATAATTTGGCCAAACTGCAGGTGAAGAAAGGTCCAGTGAGGAAGTCTGAAGAGCAGAAAAGTTGGACACCAAGGAGCTAAAATGTGCAGGTGTCAGGATAATCATAAAATGCATATGGATTTTGGACCCCCTCTCAGTGGCCAAAAAAAGACCTCATCATCTGAGAATAACCTGGGGTTTGACAGTTTTCAGACAGGATGGTTCAGACTCTGGAGCCACCAATCTATCATTCCTGGCTACGGAGGTCAAAGATTCTGAAGTTCCAGGAGTGATGAGGAGATCTCCATATATCTCCCTCAAGCACGATCATTAATTCTCGGGAGGTCTTGAAAGGACAGGGATCAATCCTGTGGTTGTAGGATTTCAAAGCTGTGGTGTTTCCCATGCTCTTAAGGCACTTGAGACATAGCCCCCAAACTAAACATTACATGCCCCACATGGCACCCAATATGGGGAGACTTGAGAGAGTAAGAAA